TGAATCACTGAAATCAGGTTTATACCTCATTTCTCCTCTGAAATCTCCCCCAAATCCCTCAGTTGTCAAATCTAATAAATATTCTAGTTATTGTCATATTTCAGCTTTGTCGCACCTGATCCTATTGACCAGTCTCCCTTTAAAACTCTCTTGATCCTCAGCTCTTCTTATACCACTCTCCTGATTCCCCTTCTCTTTGTCCTCAAATCCTGTATGGAATGTAGCATGGCATAAATAATTAAAAGTGTCCATCTATTCTTTTATGGGCTCGTTTCACTTGCTCCTTCACGTTCTGTCCTCAACCTTCTTTTTATTTCACTCCACACACCTCCCTACAATAATTGCATCTATAGTCGTGGTTTTAATGATCATTTATTCATGTATAACTTTCAAACCTATATTCCCAGTCTAATCCTCTTTCCTGAATTCCATATCCATACCCCAACCATTTACTGGACATCCTTATCTGGATGAATTGCACAAATGTCAAATTCAATATGTCCAAATCAGAACTTTCTTCCTTCAAAAGCCTGTTCCTCATTTCTAATTTCTGGTGAATGGGCACCAGTTATCCCTAACCAGGAACTGGGACCATATGTGTCTTTTTTTGTTTGTTTTTTTGGAGATGGACTCTCACTCTGTCACCAGGCTGGAATGCAGTGGCACAATCTCCACTCACTGCAACCTCCGCCTCCTGGGTTCAAGAAATTCTCCTGCCTCAGCTCCTGAGTAGCTAGGACTATAGGCACAGGCCACCATGCCTGGCTAATTTTTTGTATTTTAGTAGAGAAGGGATTTCACCATGTTGCCCAGGCTGGTCTCGAACTCCTGAGCTCAGGCAATCCACCTGCCTCAGCCTCCCAAAGTGTTAGGATTACAGGCGTGAGCCACTGCGCCCAACCCCTTGTCTTAACTCTCACAATTCTCCCATCGGTCTTCTTTTCTATCCCCATCACCATCACTCTCCCAGGCCTTCATCATTTCCACCCTGGACTATTAAAATTACCTCCTAACTGGTATCCACACTCCGAGTGTTCCCTCTCACCAATCCATTCTCTAAAGTGCTGTCACATTTTCTAAATATTTCTAAATAACAAATATATCACTCCCCTTGCAAAACCACCTTCAAGATAAAGCCCAAAGTTCTTTGTGGGGCTTATAAGCCTCTTCACAATCTGGCTCCTGCCTATCTCCATAACACTATATCCCATCCAAATGGAATTTCTTGCAGTTTCCTAACACAGAGTTCTCTCATGGCTCTGTGCCTTTGCAAGTGCTGTTTTCCTTTGCCTAGAATGCTCTTCTATCCTGTCCAATGGTTAACCCCTACTAGTCCTTCAAGGATCAACTCTCACAGTATCTCCTCTAAAAAACTGTCTTTAGCCTCCCAAGTACACTTCTTTCCCCAGGTGAGTTAGGATGCTCTTCTCTGTAGCTTCAGTGCTGTGTGCTCACACTGCGTCACTGGTCACTGCCATTAGACCAAGAGATCTGTAAGGGCCATGACAGCTTCGTTTGCCTCCTTGTCTACTGACTAACATAGGACCTAATAATAAGAGATATTCAATATTTGTTGCATAAACCAAACTCCTTTTAGACCCTTCATATATTCCTTCCTCACTGATTTTGGTGAAATTTTTCTTCAGTAGAGAGATATTCAAGAAGAGTGTTTTTACTGCCAAAACATTCCAGAAACTCCACACTCCCTAGTAAATCTTATCAGACAGAATAGCTTCCCTTATCCCATTTAGGGCTGGTGATTATGGATTCTGTCATCCAATGTATTCCAGTTGTGTACTGGTCTGAGTTTTCTCCCCAGTCAGCATCTATTACTGACAGCAGCTGAGCTATATGTGGGTAGGGAGGAAAGGGAAAGAACGGGGCTAGAGAGAGCCCTGACCTGATGATAGTTGGAGAGGTTGCTATGCATGTCAGCAATGTCTTCACTGGATACTTCTTTGATGACCAGAGTCCGATCGTAGGAGATAAGGAAGCGACCATCGCTGCCTTCACTTTTGCTGGGGGGGTTTCGGGTAAGGGACACCTGGGGACACAGAAAGGCCAGAGGCTCTTTTCCTCTCCCTTTATATGCAGAAACAAGTCATATGAAAATGGTCAGCTGAAAGTGGATGAGTCCCTGGGGTAGGAGATTTAGCACAGACTCCTGATCAGGTGTCCATATTTCAGGACTGAATGAAACTGAATGCATAATTCTTTTTTTTCTTTCTTTTTTTTTTTTTGACAAGGTGTCTTGCTCTTCACCCAGGCTGGAGTGTAGTGGTGCGATCTCAGCTCACTGCAATCCCCGCCTCCCACGTTCAGGCAATTCTCCTGCCTCAGCTTCCCAAGTAGCAGGGACTACAGACATGCACCACCATGCCCAGCTAATTTTCGTATCTTTAGTAGAGACGGGGTTTCGACATGTTGGCCAGGCTGGTCTCAAACTCCTGACCTCAGGTGATCTGCCCGACCCAGCCTCCCAAAGTGTTGGAATTACAGGCATGAGCCATTACGCCTGGCCAAAATTCTTAATGTATCTACATCTTTTCCCCCAAGAACAAGGTTTATAGTTTACATTAAATTTTGAAAATACCTGTGACTGCAAAAAGGTAAAGAATCATATCTGCCAAGACTCTCATTTCTCATTTCAAGTCCTATTTGGCTGTCCCAAATAGGACTCCTCAGTTGCTGTGAGAAAGGGCTACCCTCACCCCTTAATGGACTCTCACCAAGTAATCTTGGTCATCAATGCCAAATCGATCACGGAGGTTCCTGAAGACCTGGGGACAATACTCCTTGAACTTGAAATGACTGGGTAGATTCTCCCTGAAATTCAGGTTTTTCAAAGTAAGAAAACAAACAATATTACATTTATATACATTTGGTAGTTTAGAAAGTTCCTTCAGACATATTACCTCATTTGATTCTCATAAAACCCTGTGAGGTCCTTTATTTATTTATTTATTTATTTATATTTTTTTGAGACAGAGTCTTGCTCTGGCGCCCATGCTGGAGTGCAGTGGTGCAAATTCGGCTCACTGTAACCTCCACCTCCCGGGTTCAAGAGATTCTCCTGCCTCAGCCTCCCAAGTAGTGGGGATTACAGGCGCATGCCACCACACCCGGTTAATTTTTATATTTTTAGTAGAGATGGGGTTTCACCATGTTGGTCGAGCTGGTCTCAAACTCCTGACCTCAAGTGATCCACCTGCCTCGGCCTCCCAAAGTGCTGGGATTACAGGCATGCATCACCACATCTGGCCCTTGTGAGGTCCTATAAACATATATTATTTCCATGTTACAGAAGGGGAGACTGTGTCTCAGGGTGATTGAGTGACCTGCCTAAGTAACATGGTTGGTGAGTG